CATATCCCGCAAACATTGTTACTCGAACTCAAAACCTCTAGGGAATCAAATTTTGTTATCGTTAAGGTTGATTGGATTAGGAAACCTATTATGCGTTCGTAGATAACTTTTTACGTTGCTCGAGTCTAATTTGCAGTTTGTCGATGGTTTTTCAATAACTTGATCCCCTTTTTTGGTCAGTTTGTCGAGACGATCAGATCTGTTTATATTTATTTTTGTTCGAGTTTCTTTGTTAGATTTTACTCTTTTTTTGTATGATTCTTCTGTGATATTAAGTTGATAGTTTTTTAATGATTATAGGAAATATTTTAATTATGTACTTAATTTACGATTATTATCGTAAATATTTATTATAATTTAAAATAATTTTTATTTTGAGTAAAATTAATCACTTCTATAAAGAATGATAATATAACAAAAAGAAATCAAAATATATTATTATCATAAAGTTTCAAAAAATTAAATGACTAAAATTGTTTTCTTTATGATGTTATATAGATCTTGTCATGTGATAAATTATCTAACATAATTTTAACCATAGTCCCTTACCTTAATGTTATATATCACTATTTAAATTATTTATTTATTTATTTGGACATGAAAAGTTTAAGTTAGGAATGATTTCATCGGTCTATAATCTTGATATACCTATTAAATCTCAATAATTTGTGTCGATACTTATTGACTATTAAAAATATTTTTTATTAGTTTTGTATTGATGTAACATGTTAAGTAGTTCAATTTTCCGTTTAATGTTATTATAAATTGAGTAAATTATATAATTTACCAGTCAAATATTTTTTCTCTTTTATTTTAATTATTAAATTTTATTTAATCATCATAATTTATTTTATTATTATTTTATATATAAAATATTATTACTAAAAAAATTTGTTTTAAAAAAATCTCACCCTCATCCCCTACTCCAGCCCTATCCCTTTATAATTCTAATTGGTGTTTACTGTAGCTGTCGCGTGTGTTATTACGTGTGTAACAAGTAATTCGGACGGCGGCGATACCGTTATTACGTGGGTATTATCACGTTTTCGGATCACGATTTGAAGTCCTGATTCCAACCCCCAACACAGCCTCCCTCCCTCACGTCACGCCGGCCGCCATCACCGTCGAACTACACACTCGCCGACGTGCCACGTATATTCAACTTTGTATATTCAAAGTAATTATGTTTTTCTCGGTATTTTTTTATTTTAGTGATTGCAAATCTAGGTTTTTTCTTGTTCTTGATTTCTTGATTTTTCACGTCTCCGTGATAACTTGATTTCTTGTTCTTGCAAATCTGGGTTTTTTTTAACGTCTCCATTAATGAGAATACTGTGATTGTTTTCAAGTGATTCAAGATTTCATGGGCCAAACTTTGAAAAATAAACGTGGGATTCTCAAATGGGTCGTGCCCGGTTTAAGCTCAAACACAACGATTTGATCCGTTTAATTTCCAGCAGCTCTGGGTCTTTGCAGGAAGCTGGAATATAGAAAATTCTGATTTATTTGCTTGATTAATGTTGAAATCATGGAGTCGAAATGGTTATTTGGTTAAGATTCCATCTGATCTACTGGACTTGTGGATTTAAAGCTGAGATATTCTGTGAATTCATATCACGAGAATATCGTTGAGTGGGAAACGGTGACCGGATGGTGGCCATTAGGTGGGTGGTGATGGTGATCAGCGGGTGTGTAGTTCGGCGGTGATGGTGGATCTCGCCGGTTCAATGGAGACATGAAGGAAGGAGGTTGTGTGTGGTGGTGTGGGGAATTTTAAATATGCTATTACATATTAATATAAATTTATAAATCACATATAATATAATATAATATAATATATTACAAAAAAAAATTTATCAAACCTAAACAGTGACAGTTATAGTTCAATTCCATTCATATTTAAATGATTTTTTCATCAAATTCATTTTTTTGAATATAATATTTTTTTAGATAAGTAAATTATATTTCATCCAAAATAATGCAACCAAGGCTGCTACAAAACGTCACAAACATATAAGCGCAAATACTACTTACATCCTCAAATCAGTATATTCATGCCTGTACATCTTAATTTTTACAGACTCTAACAGCCTATTTATAATTACATCTATCGAACGAATCAAATTTCTATGATATTTATGATTACGTTCCTCCCAAATGAGGTAAAGAAAATTAATCCACGCAAGTTTAAGGACGCGAACTCTAAGAGATTTACCTTTAAGGTTAGCCAAAAGCCATTGAAGGAGATCATCCCAAGAACGAGCCACAAAAGAGAGGCTACAAACATTCAGGACAGCCCCCTAAACACCTCTTGCATAAGAACAGAAAACAAAGAGGTGGTCACGAGATTCCGAACCAACACCACACAAGCCACAACCAGCATCAACAGTCAGTCCAAACCGAGCAAGCCTATCATTCGTGGGTAGCCTATCAAGAATGACCATCCAATAAATTAAAGAAAATTTAGGAACATGGCCCGGAAACCAGACTAACCTATGCCAGCTAACTTTCTCTTTGCTTTCACGAATGCAATCCCAAATCCACTTCCCATTAATAAGATTCCAGTTAACATAAGGCAGGAGCAATCTCCTAATCTCCTCTCTCAGCTTCAGTAATTTGACTAATATCCAGCTAAAATACGGTTTGCAATCAACCTCCCAGTAGCTCACAGATTTAAATATGTGAAATAATATTTTAACATAACTTCTTTAAAAATTTATATGAGTCGGTTGAATGAGTAATGATATCATATTATCTTCACTTCATCAAACTCTTTTCTACTTCATAGTTGAGAAGATTTGTAATTAATTAAATGAATTTTTTTTTTGCTATCAAGTTGTAAGGCTTTTACCTGATTAATTTGGATCGAGTCTAGGGTCCAAAGGGGCCCCGACCCCTGTAAAATAATTTTATGTTCAATCGATTTTTATCTAATAGTATTTTAGTTTATGTAAAAATAAGTATTCAAATTAAAAACATAAGAATTTATTAGATATTTAATCAAGTAGGAGTCAAACTAAAGAATAATAATCCAATACCAACAATTGATTGGTCTAGTTGGATGAGGCACTATATCTCTTAAGCAAGGTCAGGGGTTCGAATCTTGGCGATTGTGAATTGAGTAAATTGGGAACGAAGGTTCGCCCTCGCCTCTGTAGTATCCGATTCAAATTAGTCGATCAATAAATCGGAAACTAATGGTTATACAAAAAAAAATAATCCAATGTTCTCAATTTTTTGGTCTAATAACAATTTAGTTCATTATAAATTTAATTATTGGGCAAATTAGGCATTGTATTCTAAATTGTAAATTTAAATACCTAGTAAGTAATTGTATTTTTCTTAAAAAACTTTAATATTTGGTCATGTTTATATCTAATTCTCACTATGTCCCTGTCGACCCGGGTTGTACACCTAGTTTTGGCGGGTAAGTCTCCTAGCGAAATTTTTTGCATACACAATGACTCATACCCGAAACATTACTTAAACGATATCAAACTATTTACTACTTAAACCAACCATGTTAATATTTAACTTTTATTATAAGGTATTATAAACAATTTAAATTACCCTGTAATGAAACTCTTATTTACCATTTTTTATGTGGCGTGGTTTTGCGAGCTATTAAATACTTAGCTATAATTGACAGCAAGACACCCTGATATTCTCGCAATATATTTTTATATAAAGTCGACTTCTTTTTTATAGTTCTAGATGTATTATAATTATTGCAGCTCATTGCGTCACACGTTTCAATCTATGACCCTTGTTTCAAATTGTTCTCAAAGTTTTTAAACATTTTAATTTCATTCCCAAATAATGATTACCATTCTAGATCAGTCCTCAAACATTTAGCATTTTATCTTCATCCATAAACTATGATCTTCATTCTAAATTAGTATTTAAACTTTTTGAACATTTCAATTTAGCCCTACATTATGCGTATATATAAATCATATCTATTGTTAATAAAATCTTTAGACCAAGTTATGTTAATATATGTTTGAAAATAATTTAGGTTGAACTGGTTGAAATGAATTATATATTGGGATGAATTTGAGGATAAAATTGATGATGCAAAATTTTAGGGACCAATTTGGCATGATATTCATAGTTTGGGAATGAAATTGAAATGTTCAAAAGTTTAAGAATGAGTCATAATTTTGGGATGAAATTGGAATGTTTAAAAGTTTAAAGACTAATTTGAAATAAAAGTCATAATTTGGGGAGATATGATGGAATTAACTCTAATTATTATTATATTTCTTTTTCTAAAGTTTAGTTGGCCCGTATTAGTCGGTCAGGGTGCGCGACATGATTTGAAAGTAAGATGTGAAATTTGAATTGTCACCTTCCAATCAAATCAGTCACCTTACGGTTCAAGTTTCTTTTGTGTTCTCCAAATTATTTGAATTTAAATTTTTAAATTTTTAATGAAAATTGAATTAATATTTCATTTTTTTAAATATTTATTTCGTCTCATTAAATATGCTTATTATTGATTTTAAAAAAGTCAAAATTTTTAAACACATGATTATTTTAAATATTTTAATTCATCACTTTTTATAAAATAAATATTTGAAAACTACTTCATTTAACAACTTTAAAATATGTTTTATTCATATTTTTATCAACAATAAATTTTAAATAACAAAGAGTCGGATAAAAAAATTTGACGAGAAATCAATAATAAACAGATTTAACGAGACATAATATTATTTTATATATTACTGCCTATACTTTATTCTTGATCACTGAAATACGTTTTTGAGAAAATAAGATATTTTTTTTCATTTACACAAATTTAATTGAATAAATGACCACCTCCTTGAACTTGTACTCTCTAGGCATCTCGAATGGCCAATCAAATTAGGCAGCGGAGGAACGTATAAAATCATAAAAGCAAAAGTAAGAGACAATATCTTAGGGGGATACAAGTCAAAGATTAAGGACTGATTTGGATACAACTTAAAGGGATTTAATCTCCAAAATGGGTAATTTTTTACAGGTAATAAATGTTACATACAAGATACAAACAGATAAAGGACAAATTTTATCGGTCAATTAGACGTGTTTGATGGTTCACACACACATATCTACACCTCATGCATTGCACTTAAGTGTCAGCCCCAGAATTTATATAAAAATGGCATAGCCAGCAAACATGTATGCCCGATCTTAGTAGTATGAATACAGCACACCTCTAACGTAAATATTTAAACCCTACCTTCTGGATTTCAGGCTGAGATGCATTATCTACATTTGAAGAGTCGTCTGATATGTCAGGTTGCGAACTGTTGTCATGAGCAGCAGCAGCATTTTTCAATTTTTTATTGCTCTTGTGATGAAGGTGACGAGGACCATGGCTCCAACCACTAGTCCCTCCAGAGTTTTCTTCGACATATCTGACCAGCTTTTCAACAAGAAGAAAGAGTACTATCCCAGCTGTGACATACAGAAACACCAACATGAAAAGAGCATTATTTCTTTTCGGCAGAGCAACAATCTTTCAACGGATTTCCTTCAGCATTATACAAGTTTAACTGCTTTGAAAAGATGGAACACTTGGTTCATCCATCTATGAGACTATGACATGCATTCGAATTTTCAATAGTAACATTACTGAACAAGAAATTTCTTACACCATTGCAGATATAAAGAAATTATAAGACCAGCCTAGCATGTTTCCCGCATTCATGCATACATACACAAACACAAACACACACTTTTGTTATATATTGCTACTTATCAAGAACGGACAAGCCCACAGAAAGGTCCTTCAAAGAGTGCGCATGCGTATGATCATGATCCACGAGATCAGCATGTGAGTGGGAGTGTCCACCTGCAGACGGTTTATAAGCAAATGAATTATCTAATAGCATAATTCAACCAGCAAACGATTATACAGACTGCCCTTACACTAATTCTGTCAACTTGTTTGGGATCAGAATTTAAGATTTGACTTCTTTTAATAAGATTAATAAAAGCAACCCGGAGATAGAGAAAGAAAAAGCCTAATGATGCTTTGGCTAGCAAACCTCCCATAATTTCACATATCCTATAGGATCACATTATGATTTTCATGAAAAGAAGAGTTTTGATGCATCACTAAGGTGTTGATGGACATTGGGAGCCTCAGGCTAATGCGGAAGACACTTTGGTCCATAAATCTACTTAGGCTACTCAGGAGTTATATCTCCAGTTGCAATTGCAGTTGTAGGCCTTTTTGTTTGGATGGGATAATAAGGTAACTACCATTTGCACAAACAAACCAAAGTCACTGTCCTTTGGGAACATGTTTTATGTGAAGTCATATTAAGGAGCCATCAATCTTTGATTAGTTTACATTTACCCCCTCTCCTGAACCAAGAATGTGAAAAATCCCTTTTTCAACAACCATTGGATCATTAAAACATCGAACGCACGCAAAGCGTATATTGCTGTGAAAGGCAAGCAGTAGCCAGGAAGTTCAAATAGCATCCCTGTAATTGAACACCCAAAACCACCAAATGGCTTCCAGATGGAACTAAATTCTGTGGCCTCCCTTGTCGAGACAAACTCAACCATGTAAAAGATGTAAATGCAAAGTAAATCTCTCGCTGACTGTCAAGGAACTTGAAGTATATTAGTTATATTGATCCAAGAACTAGAGCTCATGTATTAAAAGCCTTTAAATATACCACAAAAGCCATGGTTATAACAACGTTTTTGATAAACCACAAATTTAAGTACTGAATTTAAGTTATAAAATATATTTTGTTTATTACTTAAAATTACAGAATATAATTAGACTATTTGATAAATGTGAACTCTTAAACATACCACGTTATTTTAAACAAAGACAAATTTAAACGTAAAATATTAATTAAATGTGTTAAAAGAATTAAATCAACTGATTATAAGTTTATACATGAGGAAAATCATACCAAACGAATGCGGCAACTGGTGAAGAAAAGCATCTCCCAACATAACTCCTGACTGTAATATCAATGTACAACAAAATGTAGAAAACTATTTAAGAGAGAGAGAGAGCATTGAATAATGAGCTCTGAATATTGCTCAACCCAGAACTACAGAAAAGTTATATTGTTCAGGTACTCAACAGACGTTATCTTCAAAATATTTACTTAAAATTTCATGACAGATAAAAGGTTTGAAGAATCTAACCCCAAATAAAGCCAGGGAATCAACAATCGCCTTGGATGGCTTCCCTTGTACTGCAATAAATAATCAAATTTTGAGCTCCATTATCAGGAATAATATATTTACGGGAAAAGAAAAAAATTAATTCAGCAGAAAATAAAGCTGAAGTGAAGACCAAATATATAAATGATCATGCTTCGAAAACTAACTTACTGAATATCAAAGGTAAAATAATCAGGCAAATAAGGGAAGCCAATCTTACTAAGAGCGAACATCCCAATGCACGTAACCAAAGGCTTGCAAAAAAAGTCCAAATAAGGCTGAAACCTCATACCAGAATTGCATCAATTATGTGAACTCGACACTTGTTGGATGTCGAACAACAAAAATGCAAAAATCAAGGGGATAGCAGCTTTGCAGCGGAATGCATAATTCCAACATGACAAGCAATCAGAACCCAAAAACAAAATCCAAGAGCATTATACAGATCGCCAGAAAACAGTGTGCATATATTGCCTCAGAAACAAATGGCTAAATGGTAAGTGTTAGAAGCTTATACTGAGTGATTAAACCCGGCATTCCAAGCTGATTCTAGCACCTCACCCATAAGCAACTGACATGTAGAGGAAGCTTAAACCCTGAACCCATAGCAAATAATTGATACAACAGCCAATCCTAAAACCAGTTACAGACCAGATCTCATTATCGACATTTCTGCTACAAGCGCATACAACAGCTGAATTACAAGCGGTAGGCCAGTACAATCTATTTTAAAAGGGGGAACTCTGCCCAGTGCCCACCTCAAGTGAAATTCAATCCAACAACTTGATTAAAACTGCCATTCATTTAGAGCCGTACGATAACCATCCTTTTCCTTCACATTCAGTCACACCAAACATTTTAGGAAATCAGAATAAACTAAACAATATTACATAAATTGTTCTACTTCCAAAATCTATCTCTAGATTAGCGTATATCCATGGTTGGTTAATCAGTGGGAAACTATAATCAAGCTTACTTAAGCCGATAAAATGAAGAACCCAGATTTAAAAGAAAAGTTTTTCACTCGGAACTTAAGTCAAACTCCAAAAAGCTTCACCTTTTCCACTCAAACTCAACTTAAGAAGACGTCAGATGTACCGCAAAGTAGACTTAAAAACGTAAGTTTCATTTAAAATTACCTGAACCAGAGAGCTTGGGATGATCATGATCGTGATCATCCCGATATGGCCCAAATCCGTACAATTTCATGTCTTCCTCCTCAGCCAAGTCCTCCGGTAACATCATCTTTTTCCTCTCTTCCTCCGCCTGGAGGTGCTGGTGATGGCCATGATCATAGTTATGGGAATGATGATGGTTGTGGTCATGCCCATGCCCATGTCCGTGATCACATTGGTGATGATGCCCATGGTCACCATGCGTCGGCGACATACCGTACCCACTCCCGAGACACAGATCCAAACTCACAAAAACCAAAACCACCACCAAAAAGATCGGTGTTTTCTCAAACCCCATCTTTCATCCCTTCCATTTTTTTTAATCCACTTTTTACTGCCTTTTTCTAGTGAAATTGAAAACAAAAAGACTTCAGATCGGAAAGCAAAAGAGGAGCAAGAAATTGAAAGGGGAAAAAAAAGAATAAAGACCCAAACTAAGAACGGCGTTTGCAAGTGCCTTCAATGGTGATGAAACAAACAATGACTAAAAAAACCAGGATTAGGGCTACTATGATGCCGAAGGTTACTACATCCATTTTGTGTGTGCACCACTTAACGAGATAAACCTTAGCTTTCCATTTTTGCAAGTAAAAATTAAATATTTTATGTAGATTTCCGACTGACGAAATTAAAACGATAAATCTTTTTTTCCCTTTCTTTTTTTTAATACCAATTTTGACACTTTTTATTGTGGAATCATTATTAGAATGGCATGATGACAATACAATAATTAGGGGTAATATTGTAATTATAACAAATATTTGGTGGATTACAGTTAATTAGAGCTTGGTATATGGGCTAAGGCCCGCGGATTACCCATTTAACCCGCTATTCGTACGGGCTTCAAACCTCAAAAATTAAAAATCGTTTAAATTGTGGGTTTTTTAGCCCGGACCGTTAAACTCGCGGGTTTAATGGGTATAACCGCGGGCTACCCACAAAACCCGTTTAATTTAAAATTCATAAAATTTTAGAGAAAATAAACTTAAAGAATTTTATAGAAAAATAAAATAAATTACTTATAAATATGATGTTACTTATAATTATTGTAGTTCTTAAATTTATTAGGACGTTTGTCATAATTTTACCGCTGCTTTATATTTTTTTCATTTAAATATACACCATTATCATTTTGGTATTTAAAGATTTTTTTATTTAATTTTGACCTTTATTTTTTTTCATGAAGTATGTTATCCATTTTGTTATTTAATTATAAAAAATCACGTGATATTCTAATAATATATCACATGATATGTAATATTTGAATTAAAAATAAGAAAGAAAAGTAAAAGAAAAAATTGAAAACATACTTTTTAACTTTTAAAGACTTTTACAAAATAAATATATTTTAACAAATTAATGACTTATATTTTATCAATTTTAGTATAATTGTATCTTTCAAATTTACTCTTATATTGTAAGTATTTTATTTTATATTTTCATATTATGATTTAGCATTTCTCTAAAGTATCTATAAAATACAATTATTAGGATCAATTGACAACTTTATTGTTAGATTTGTATAATGTTTGACTTTGTTGAATTTTTATGTTTGAATTTATGCTTTCAGACACTTCTGTGTCTTCATATTATAGCATTGAATAATCGTGTTTTATAAAAGTATAATGTAGTTATTGTTTTATTTGTTTTTCAATTTGGTTATATAAGTGAATATTGTTTTTTAATTTGAGTTTAAGTAATTATATCATAATATATATATATTAATGATTAAAAAATTTAAAAAATATTATTTTATAATCATTTCCGGCTATTTAAAATAAAATTTAAATATTATTTATTATTTTGATGTGTTACCTTCCTTTTCAAGTTGCTCGATCATTTTTAAAGCTGTAGTAAGTTAAAACATTATTTTTTATTGCATTTAAAGCATTTAAAATTATTTTTATTTAACGGGCCACGGGTAAGCCCGTTTAGCCCGCGGGTTAAATGGACAGGTCGCGGGCCTTAAAATTCAAAACCGTTTATGAATGCGGGTTTTTCAGCCCGCTCTGTTTAAGCCCACACCGTCAAAACCCGCGGGCTAAACGGGCGGGTAGCCCGTATACCCACCTCTACAGTCAATAGATTTGATGAGTAATGAAATAAAAAAATTAAATTACTAATTTAGTACCTAAACTATTAGTTTTAATCCGTTTTAATATTTAAACTTTCAATTTTTTTAAATCATACTTAAAGTTTAGTTTTTGTTTCATTTTAGTATCTCACGGTTAAAAACTGTAATTTTTGTTTCATTTTAGTACTCGTTCAAAATTTAACGTTAAGTTTTGAAAAGATTGAAAGTTTAGGTACTAAAACGAACTAAAATTGATAGTTTAGACACTAAATGCGTTAAGTTTTTAATAACGGGTACTAAAATGAAATGAAAATTAAACGTTAGATATGATTTAAAAAAATTAAAAGCTTAGGTACTAAAACATATCAAAATTAATAATTTAAACACTAAATACATAATTTACTTTAAAAATACTTGCTATCTCCAAGGATTTTGGATTCACATGTTGTTATTTGAATATTTATTATTAAATTAATAAAAAAAATACTTAAAAGAGCCTTTTTCTAAGAAAAAGCATAATTAAGGCAAGTGTGAAAATGTAGTAATTACGCAAAAAATACATATTGAGATAATATTTTGTTATAAATTTACGAGTACGTATAAAAAATATATTAGAAATTGTAATTTTCATAGTAACTTACATAATATATATATATATATATATATATTCGAAAACTCCATCAAAGTTGATATAAAAAAAATCATAAAAATCAGAACTCAATTTCCTAGCACAAGTTCTCAAAGTCCCAAGAGAAAATCAAAGCATCCCCTTCGTAAAGATCTATACAGCAAACACATAGGGATGTAGTTTCCTGTGGTAGTATACAAATACTCGAATTCGAATCCAAAAATCGGAGTTCGGGTTAGAAATCATCGTCCAACACTCGTGTGATTTCGATGCAGTCGAGAATTCTCGGGAACTTATGCGATCTACATGCAGCGTTTTAACAAAAAATGCACCAGCAGGATTGGGGAAAAAAAGTTAGCCGAAAATGTCCGGTCGGATCATATTCCTCGCTTTTGGTTGTGTTCACTTTGCCAACGCGGGTGCAAGGTGTTCGGCTACGAGTCCGAGATCGGTTGGGCTTTGAAGAACTTGGCTACTGCCTGGTAGAGATTTTCTTCCTCAAAGGGCTTTGTGACATATCCATCCATCCCACATCTAAGGCACTCGTCATAGGTGGCCTGAATTACATCAGCCGTCATGGCTAATATCGGGACGTGCAACTCGCCTTTCCGGGCAAGTCCTTTGTCTATGCCGCCTCCATTCATTTGTTTGTTTGCTTGACTCTCCGTCATTCGAATCCGACGTGTTGCCTCGAACCTGAAATAAAAGTTCAGGATATTATATGACAGCAACACATACACACTTCTTTCTCCCTTTAGTATCGGTATATTGATCGTCGAGAGAGACATAATATACATAATTACCTACCCGTCCATTTCCGGCATCTGAATGTCCATGAAGCATGCGTCGAATGAGTGCGGAATCTGAAGAAGTTTTAGTGCAACTTTTCCACTCTCGGCACATTCCACGGCAGCTCCAAACTTCTTCAATGCACCAGCAGCAACTCTCCGGTTTACCATGTTGTCATCAACTACTAATATTTTCTTCCCACAAAGTAAGCTCCGAAGAGATCCATTCGGCATGTCTTTTCCCGCCTGGCTCTTCGTACCGATCCCAAGCACCTGTTGAAGACATGCAGCCACCATACTTGCCCTCATAGGTTTCAAAATCGTAGTGTCTGCAAAACCGGCTGCCTTTGCTTTCTCAAGCTCGGCATTAGTAATATTTGTCGCAAGAAGAATCATTTTAGGCGACTTAAACGCATGTCCATTCAACATCAGTGAGCTCAAACCGCCATCTTCCCCGGAAAGCCATAAATCTTTCTCGACGAGAATTATATCCGGCTGGATTTTACTTCTGCAATATTCAACTATGTTAGAACATTATATTAGTGTAGAAAGTTCGAATTTTGGATCAACGATAAGATTTTCTCGATTCTAAACAGGAATTCGACTTACACGCATGAAGAGCCGTTGTTCCCACATGCAGAAACTGCTATCTTTACACTACTTGCAACCTCAGCGAGTATGCCAAGTCTCTTCAAGTGGTATCGAGTTACGGCAGCTCTAACCGGTTTTCCGTCAACTACTGTTACTTTCAATCCTCGGAAACTAGAAGGAAGATCGTTTTTCATGTCATTAAACGAAGCTTTTTTACATCTCCCAAAATCTGCTGTGAACGAGAATGTGCTTCCGACTTGTGGCCGGCTAATGAAGCTTATGTGACCACCCATTAGCTCAACCAAACACTTGGTAATGCTCAAGCCTATGCCCGTCCCGCCGTAATTTCTCGAAGTTGAACTATCTGCCTGCATAAACGGCATGAAAACCCTATCCTGGGCAATTAAAGGGATCCCGATACCCGTATCTTCTACGGATACCATCAAAGTGACACTCTGAGAAGTTTCACCAGGAACCGTCATGTTTATCGAGGCGTCGTATCGCGATTCATCGTAGGAAACTAAATGCTTGAAGGAATCCCAACTGTTCCGCTCATCGGCTGCTTCATAACCACTCAAGGTTGTAAACTGGTGTGCACCTGATATCGGCACACCTTCATCCAACCGTCCATTCAAACAAGTTTCAGATTTTGCATCGACTGCGGGCTTCGTGTTTTCCGCTAGATGAACTTTAACAAATATGTGTCCCCGTTCGGTAAACTGTCAAAATCACAATAAAATGAAAAGTCGGACCAACATAGATATATACCACCTACTGAAAGCCAAAATGAGTGAAGATAAAGCAACCAACTTACTTTAACAGAGTTCCCAACAAGATTCGTAATAATCTGTCGGAATCTTCCCGGATCTCCCATAACCATTTCTGGAACTTTATCGGAAACAAAGACAGCCAACTTCAGTTCCCGAACAATTACACGTATTCGAGTCATTGTATGCATCAGGAACATGACCATTTGTAGATAGGAAAACAGAAAAAAAGAAGGCACCGAGTTAGTTCAAGCTCTTATAAACCATAAGGTTTTTCCTTCTCCTATCATAGGCATCCACTGCCTGTAGGAACTAAATAAACCGAAAAATGAAGTGTTAGATTTTCCATTAATTCTATCTAGAATTACCTCGACATCTTTGTTCCTAGACTTATCGGAAAATAAAGACAGCACATCATCTAGGATAGATCGAAGGTTGAAGGGGACGGTTTCCATCTCCAATTTTCCAGCTTCGATTTTGGCCCGATCGAGCACCTCGTTTATCAATGTTATCAGTGCCTTTCCACAGACCTGAGCGGTCTGAGCATAATCCCTTTGAGTTGAACTTAAATCCGTATCCAAAAGCAAAGCAAGCATCCCTGCAACCATTCAAAAAGTCACCAAAACATTGCTGCTTAACATCAGTTAATGCCCATATTTCAAAGAGAACTTGAGATATTCAGAACATACCGAGGATACCATTCATCGGAGTCCTGATTTCATGAGAAACTGTTGCTAAAAACTGCAAAAAGAACACATCATAATTAGTTTTAGCTTG